AATCACACTGTCAGCAGGCTCAGAACTCACTGACTGCAGGTCATTCAATCTTTTCCAGATAACATGTGTCTTCTTTGCATAAAGGCCATCTACTGCTAAATCTAGAGCTTTTAATGTCAACTAAATAACGCGTGGCGATAAAAGTACGTTTGTTTCCATAGTGACAAATAATGCAACAAAGAAAGTCACATGGTGTCATTTTTGTATCATTAAAGATTGAAGCATAATTCAAGCTAAGTGCTTATTATGGTGAACACTGACCTTTATTGACAACTTTTGAAACTTTGAAAAATGACTGTTCTAAAAGCATGCAGTCAAATGTGGAATAGGTGAGAATCAAGACTTTTCACTTCTATCTCACTATTAGTTTATTGGGAAATACCTAAAGGAACTGAACATGTGAAAATGAAGAGGCTCTGAAACAGATCACAAATAGCAAGCCAAAATGCAACAACAACAACAACAACAACAACAACAACAACAACAACAATAATAATAACAATAATAATAATAATAATAATAATAATAATAATATTTGCATAGCACTTTTTCAAACTCATACACTCATATAATTATAGTTAGTTTCAGTTCCAGCACACAGTCAGGCAAATGGTCTTACATTCTTCACACATATAAACTTCCCTACATGCATTAATTAGATTAGATTAGATGTAAAATGGTGAAAATTAATGGAATAAAGATGAAGCAAAAGCTAATGTAGAAACATTTGTTTTCAACACTTGTTTAAAACAAACAACAGATACACGTCTATTAATTAGCAGCCAGGTGCTCGTGTACTTGATTAATCGTCTGAAAAGTGACCACCTCTATGAAAGCAGAAGTGTTGGTGCTGTACAGGTCTGGAACATTCGGGTGTTAACACAATGCAATGGAGGAAAAACAGCAACTCTTGCTGTCCATTAATCTGGGAAGGGTTGTAAAGGCGTTCCAAACCATTTGACGTTCATCATTCTACAGTAGGAATGTGGAAAACATTCGAGAAACGTGCCAGTCTCCTAGCAGTGGATGCAAATTCACCAGCAAATTCACCAAAGGTCAGATGGAGAAATGCTTAGAGAAATTGCAAAAACCCCAAGAGCTACATCTACAGGCCTCATTTATCATTTCAGTAGCTACCTGGGGACTGCAGATATATCTTAAATTTTCACGACAGGAAGTGTTGCCAGGAGAAATGCTCTTCTCAAAACATGGCAGCACAGCTTAGGTCTGTGAAAAATTGCATCTGACCAAACAACAAAGTCCTTTCGGCAGATAAGACCAAAGTTGCCATATTTGGTGAAACCAAAGACACCACGCCAGCACAAATATGTCATACCCACTGTCAAGCACAAGGGTTGAGGTTTTACTTTTTGTTTTGCAGCCATAGGACTTATGCACCTTCCAGTCAAACATGAGGCCATCTGTCCCACAGCTAAAGCTTTGGCTGAAACCGGCCAATGAAAGAGGAAAGTAAATCCAAGCACAGCATCAAATCTACAGCCAAAGGGCTAAAGAAGAAAAGAATCAAGGTCTTGCAAACAGGCAAAATCAACGTCCAGACCTCAGCTGTGGTGTGACTTTAAGAGATCTGTGCTAAAATGAATGCCCACAAACCTCAATGAACTGAACGCTGAAAAAGAAGGATGCCCCAAAACTCCTCCGCAACGATGGAGGAGACTGATAAGGTCACACACAAAATGTCATGCTTCGTACTTAACTTAAGTTGTTCTGCTAAATAGAGTTCTATTAGATCAGGTTTAGTTATATTTAGGTTTCCACACTGCGTTGGCATTTTTAGCTTCATTTTTGTTAAATGCTTGAACTTATTTTTTGTGGGGGGTTTTATACAACAGGGCTTCAGTGAGTTGTCATTACAAAGTGCAGCATTGCCTAAGCCTCGCAGTTCCGCTAAGACGGCTTTACACACCGAGTCTTGTCTGTTTTCTTTTTTATTCTTTCAGCTTTTGAGACATAAAAAAGCTAAATAAATCTTTTGATTGGTCAGAAAAAAAAACCAAATATAAATATCTATTAGGAAATATGTTTAAACCAATCCATTTGTGAATGTTAGGTAATTTCTTTGCAGGAAATGTCAGCCCACAGTTACTGTCACTTTGTGGTTCTTCTGTGTAGAGGAGGGCCTCCTGATACAGACTACTTCTGCAGCTGTTCAATGATGCTTCTTTACGTGATGTGGTTTATCAGCGCACTCACATACATCCTTCCTGTGGAGCTAGGAATTCAACATCTGTAACTCAAGCAAGACAACTATAAATACACTGAAGCTTAGGTGATATTAACCCTCTCAAGGCAGGCGTTGCAGATTTGCAACAGTTAAAAGCTAACAACCTGATTCCCCCACATACATATTTTATGAGTTTTTTGTACTCAGAAGTACCACTGCAGGTATTCTTTTGTGCATTAGCAACAAAAACTCAATTTGAGCCTGAGAGGGTTAAACTGAAACTTTGATCATACACGTACACAAATCTCTCCCATATTCAGCCTTTGTGTTCATCACACCCCAGACTGGGACTCTGGATCTTATTTCTTGATGACATGTCCAGGATAGAGGAGGCTCATTTTTTGGCTGCTGGGATGAGGATGAGGGGGGGGTTGAGGACACAGGATGGACTGCCAGATTGACAGGCCAGTGGAGCTGTCACTGGGGGCCAAGGTGTAGAGATGTTCAGGGAGTTGGCATTTGTGGCTCAAAAGATAAGCATCAGTGAGAATACGAGAGGCTTGATGGTAATCTTTCACAGGAAGTCAGGCTATACCATTGCAGAAGAAACCACAGGAGAGAGACTGACCTTGTGCGCTCGTGCTCTGCTGCATTGCTTTTTAGAGGGGACCAGGCCTCTTACCCTCTGCAGACAGGAAGACACTTTGCTGTAGCATTACTCTGTTTAAACAGACAGGCAGGTCAGCTCTAGAATGGATTTGCTGATCGCTGAGAAGTCGTCTGAAACTTCAGTATTTCAGTTTTTCATAACGGCAGCATTAAAAGCATTTAAATCCCCAATAATGTATGATGTAATTTATTTTTTACTCGGTTGCTCTAGGTGGCTTCTTTAACCTAAGCAACTAAAATAAACAGTACAAAGGTTAGCAGTAAGGTTACTATGTGCCCACAGACTATGTGAACTACTGTGAATGTGGGTGTTCAGCTCAGTCACTGACAGCTTATTAACCGAACTCACCAGAAACAAAAAAAATAAGTTTTTCTTTCATGTTTTTCTTTCCTTTTGTGTTTACTTAAAAAACAAAAACAAATTATATTCATAAATTATGTGTAACCTGATCTGTTTTGTTAAAATTACACTGATCATGGCCAAGTTTTCTTTAGCATGACCCAGTGACTGACAGGATGGTAAATATGACTAGAATTATTATACACAGAGGAAGAACATGGGATCAGGAGTCAGGTGAGAAGCTCAGGGTAGAACACAGAGAAGGATAAAAATGGATTCATGAATACAAAAGGAAAAGGATCGAATGACTAAAGCAAACACATGAAACTCTTCAAAATATAACAGGAAGTAACTTTAAAAAGACACAAAAACTACTTGCTTGCATGAACAGGAAGAACAGAAGAAGCTGGCCCGGAAAAGAAAAACATGTGAAGAAATATTTACGCTTTTATATTACATCTTTTAATATAACTACTTTCTTTTAAAAAGTATTTATTTTGTAGAAGTCTTGGTTGTATTGCTTGTATTATCATAATAGTTTGCAAGTTAACTACTTAGATCCCTATAAAAAATATTTACTTGGATCAAAGTACATGAAAGTCACAATTAACAGAAAAATAGCAGTTATCATCTAAGAATGAAGCAGAATTACATGTCAGCAGTGCATTGATTCCAGGCTTTACCATTTACAGATGGCCAAAGCAATAAAAGCGAAGCTCTAATAATGTGTGCAATCTTGGGACTGAAGGACCAAAAAGTTTTCCATTTCTCTTGAGCTAAAAGGTCATCTTAAGTGCGTGCACAGGTCACCACTTTCTGAATGTGTTAAAATGAGGCTTTTAAAGAGAACATTCGTTAAATACCTTCCTGGATTTGTTCCAGATCAAGTTTTGTTAAAAAAGAAGAAAACAATAAGTACTGTCTGCACGTTTATCGTGAGCTATCCTCAGTGACATTGGAGCTTCACTCCAATGTCACTTCATGGCCAACAATGACGCATTTAAAACACGATTCAGCAGATTTCCTTCATTTGAGCTATTACATTACTAATATTAGTTAGTTACATGTTTACAGCTGTCCAGTTTGGGTTTCTGGGTTTATAACTATCACATTAAATGCTAAAGGGTTGAATGTGTGAACAAAAGCTTTTCTTTTAGCAGTGCTTCCTAAGTATATCCTCAATACTTTATTAGGTGCTATAAAATGAGTAAATATTGCACTGAAGTCAAATTTGGTGCTAAAATATTTACTCAGATTACAATTTGGGCTCACCCATATGGTTGTTACATAAATGAAGCCAGTTGAAGAATGGGTAAATGTCACCGTGCTTCCTTTACCGCTTGGCAGAGCAGATGTCGAAATGTCATCATGTTCCTTTTAAAATCAACAGAAAAACCTACTTTAGTAAAGATTCGTTCGATCCTGATTTACTGAGCATCTGGTGTAGTGTTTAGCTTTATGCATGCTTTTAAAATAGTGTCAAACAATAAGCTGTCAAAATCACAGGGCGAAACAACACAGGAAATAATTCGCACAGAGCTAAAAGTTGCCACAGAAGTAATAAAGAAACTTAAACGAAGACTCGTGTTTGAAAGGACGCGTCTGCAAAATATTTTGTTCATTTTCTGAATTGACAATTTAGTGTTAGTAAAGTCAGGGCACAGATGCACAAGTAGAAACTGTCTGCAAAGAACAATTTTATTATCTAAAACAGAGAAGACCTCGAGTTATAGGCCAGTTACTCACCACACAGGAAGTTATTTTAGGTTACAGTGGGCTGCTTAACTCTGAGACTTAGAGACTTGATGCAACCTCAGTGTCTCTGCGCGTACACCGGGAAGGAAGACATACTGCAGACACTTTCTCTCTATAACCATACACAAACCAAAGAAGCACAAAACTGCTGGTCACTTACTGATGAAGGTGTGCTTGCTGTATAATCTTCAGAAAAGGTGGGTTCACTTTGAGTTGAATGTTGAAATTCTGCATTTGTGAGTGTGTAAATGCTACAAAAGAACAAAGCGCAGATGTTTCTCTGTGCTAAAAATAGATGAAAATGTGTGAATAGGAAAGGGGGTCTTTAAAAGGCAAGAGCTGCTGCAAAAGATGAGAAACTCACTTTGATTAAAATTCAAGAACAAGATTTCAGTTGGTTTAAATTTGATTAAAAAGTCGTTTTATTCTGTATTATGAACATTGAACTTCCTAAAACTGAAGTGTGATTGAAACCGTGTCAAGTTAATTATGGTCAATTCTAAAAATACATATATATGTATGTTAGAAATATAACGTGCCTCTAATTTTGATTCACAAAAATAATTACACAGAGCAAAATTGAAATATTTCACACTGCGTAACCAAATTACAGTCATAAAATGAAAACTGTCAACGAGCGCTTTTATTGCACAAGCTAAAAAGTCAAGTGTGCTAAGTGAGTTTGATAAAAGATGCACAAAGAGCGAACCAATCTACTTGCTTCTAACTACCTGCAAATCGATACAAATCGATTAACGTGTGTCAACAGAGGGAAATAACTTTTAATGATAAACATCATAATTTGTTGATGGCGCTTCCTCACACTGAGCTTATTCTCGCTCTCTGCAGTTGATACGTTCTTGATCTCCGTAGCAAAGCCAGGTCACAAATCCTTAAGTAGTCTGGTGGTTTGAGTTGCCACAATCCTCTGCACCCAATTTCCATGGGGCACAAGTTTATTTTCCAGACTAACTGCTTAACCTCAGATGCTAGCTCCATGTATCTAATCTCCTTTTTCATATGTCTCGCCCCACCCCACTTCCCGTGGCCCAGTAAGCTCTGCAAAGCAGTCAGGCAGCCCCACAGAGTGTTAGACCACAGTGCCAAATCCAATACTGAGTTTGCTGCTACTTGAGTCGGTAGCCTCTAATGTCAGCTGGCATTTTCACAATCCCTCAAATTGCTGAAATGTCCTAAATTCTATTTTGGGCAGGTTTCCTTCCTGCTTTCTGTTTTGTTTTCCTTCATGGCCAAAGAAAACTATCAAAAGCTGTCAATCAAAGACTGGTGGATAACTCGTGAGGATGTGGTTCTTTTCCTCTTTGTGCCCTTTTTGAAAACAGGATTTTAAAATTCATGGAATATTTTTAACCTCTTAAGACCCGAACTCTTCCACGGCATGCATTTTTAATTTCTCTTTGATATTTGGGCTGATTGGGGCACGATGAATGTAAAAACAAAGAATTACCAGATTTTTTATTTTTACCATATTTTTGTTTTTAAGAAAAATGAGAGCCACATCTGAGGATATTCGTTTACAATTTTGATAGAACGGTAGCAGAATAATGTCCTCGTAAGTGGATATCAGGCCCTTGTAGAGCAAAATTGAGTATTTTGGTCTAAATATCCCAAAATGTGATGTCCACATATGTGGACGCAGGTCCTAGGAGGTTAAAATTTGAAAATTACACAAGTGAAAGAACTGTGACTGCACGAGTCTGTCTCAGTGCAGCGTGCTAATACAAAAGCATAACAACTGTCCTTTTGCCCTTCAGCTGTTTCACTGTGAGATTGGATTTCAGTTCATTTGATCTGAGTGATCTAATGTGATCAAATTTTAAACGATTTCACAGCCACCTTTGTGATATTCACGAACTTGTGGACCACGTAAAATCTGCCCGCTTTTATTCACTTTAACCCCCGTTTTTTGGCATTAAGAAAGACTGAAACCTCTGGAGCACCTAATTATTGAACTGTTAATGAGGAAAACCGTCTGTGGCACATTGTGATTCAACAAGTATGTGCCTCTAAATTACAGAAGAAGTAAGACTTTTACTTTGGGCATACTCTTGCTAGTGATGTGTTAACCATTTGAAATACAGTGTATTTCAAACAGTGTAAAGTTAATCAGATTTAATGTATATTAAGTTTATTTGATTCAAAATACAACCGCACCAGCATGTTTGGGGTAAGGAGTGTTGACCGGTTAAATTATTCATGGATTAAATTCTGACATTGTGTATGGTTGTGAGTTTAAATTTTATGGATTTTTCATGAATTAATTGTTAGATTTTTAAGACAAAAACTTTAAACAAAATCTTAAAAAACAGCAACATTATCTTGAACATACAGAGAGATACTTTTAGACACATGCAGTGATATTACCGAGTTGCAGGGAAGGCTCACGTTTGATCATGTTTGATCTGGTCTTATTTGGGTGATCTACAACTTGTTCGGGATGCTAATTACTTTGCGTATTTAACCAAAATCTAATATCATGTTTCCTCTGCCTCCCATAATCCGCCAATACAGCCTTATTGCTCATTATGCTGATGACACTTGACCGAACCTTTTAGAAAAGTAAGTTATATAAAACAGTCATCACTGATGTTTAGGTATACTCATCTGTATGATTGAGCCAAGAGTGAAGGCAAGAGTGTGTAGCACTGACGCTGGTCTAGAAAAGTTATAAACTGAGTGTCCTCAGTTATTAATATGAGTTACCTCCATAAGCACCTCCATAAATCTAAACCAGGTCACGTCTCTTCCTTCAAATCCTGCAGAACCTCATTTTAAGTAGGAATAATGTTAATATGTGAACAATTATATTTAAAAAGTCAAATATAATCATTAGCAAGCTTGATCATCATCATGAATTTTAACTAATACAAGTTTTTTGGTTTGTTTCTTAGATTTTTGGGTGTTGTGGGGGGGGGTCAGAACTGTTGACCATAATTCAGCTATGACCAAGAAAAACTCGTCAGTGTTAATTTCAAAGACACTTTGTTACATGTAAACTCAGCGTGCTTAACATAAGATAAGAATACTTGAATAGTTCTGGTATTTTTGTTTTGCTTGGTTTTTTGTTTTTGTTTTTGTTTGTTTGCTTGTTTGTTTTTTGCTTTTTGGCATCATCAGTCCTTCCATTTGAAGAACAAACTCCAAAGCCAGGTGATAATGGAGGTGGGAATCACCATACATCCCACGATACGATATTATCACAATACATAACGCACGATACGATATTATTGCAATTTTAAAAAATATTTTGCAATATTCAGATTCTACATACATAAAGGTAAACTTTATCAATATTCATTTTATCTAATATCAAAGTCTCGCACTCAGTCTTTCTCTCATTTCAGTTTTATTGTTGACAAACTGAACGGTTTGTATTACAGTCTAGTCCAACTGAACTGAATGCAACCATCTGGTACAATTATAGCTATATAATTGTACCAGATGTACCATACAAGACCAAGACAGCTATATTGTACCATATAGCTATAATTATAGCTTCTGAACTATGAAATTTATGAAAACTATGCAGCCCCTTCAGCAACTGAAGAATTTGAAAGTAAATTAAAACAAAATATAATTTTGCATTAAATAAAAAAGTTTTAAACTTAATTAAAATAAAACATGTCTTAAATTAAAATAAGTAAACTGTCATGTTTATTGCTGCCAAAAACAAGTTAAACACATTTGGACAGTGTCAGGATTCTTGCTCAGAAAAAGGATCAACATGCTCTGAAGTCAGAACACAAAAACCTTTTTGTAACAAAATATCTATTTCTGCCGTCCCTGTATCGATACATTATTAGCAAACAAAATATCACGATACTACACAGTATCGATTTTTTCCACCACCCCTAGGTGATAATGTCAAATGTCAAATGATCAACCTTCAATGGATGGATGGATTGAGTTAACATTTTTTTAAAAAGTGTTTAAAAAATTCCTGAACAGTTTCTGTTATGTTAAAAATATAATTCAGACCCGAAAGAAAACATCGTGGCTCCAAGTGACAGCAGCAGGAGGCCACAAACGGCTCTGTTTTGTTGTATATAATGACCTCATTCCTCTGCATGTGTAACTGTTGAGTAAGAAAAGTCCAAGGACAAACTGTATTGGAAGGCCACATTCTTTTGCTGAACACCCAACTAATGATGTTTTTCATTTTTGTTTCACCCCCTCGTTAGCTGCAGAGAGAGGGAACAGCCATGAGTCTGCTGTGATAATGGTGAGTTATGGCGGCCGTATCCACAGCGTTTCGCTGCTGGTTCCACATGAATGTTCCCAGGGGATACGCTGGGAGTCTGCAGCCCCCTGTGTAATTACCTTTTAGCACAGAAATGACTGAAGTGAGATTCTGCTTTGTCATTGTTAGTGCATGGTAAAAACAACACATTGTAGGCGACAAGGATTGTTCTCTGTGATTTAGTAATATCATTTCTAAACTGAAATTGTGAAATATTTTATATTAGTGTCACCAATTATACAATAATTTTCTCATAAGTTTACATGCACTCTGCTGACATGTGTTGGTTACTAATAATAATACATGTTAATGAATTAATACATTATACGTCTATCATTTAAAAACATAAGAGGTTTAAAGAAATTAAAATAGTTGTTATATATTCTAGGTAAACGTATTGTTTGGGCGATTACTATATAATGTCAGCACCAAGGTATTACAAGGAAATGCTCTGTGTTTAGAGGAAAGCTTCTTCTGTACTTTCCTAAGCGCTTAGGTTCACGATGCTTCTCAGAAGTGCAGAGCAGAACGATGTTGCATGGCGCAAAGTGCTAACACTCAAACGTAATGGCCAAAGTCCTCTGGAAAGAGGCAACGGCTTGCATGTACATCAGAAAGGGACGAAATCTGATCTTAACTTAAAAACCTAAACGTATGTTTTTGTTCTTTTCTCATTCATCTGGATAACTCTATTGAACTCTATTGAACTCTATGATCTATATGATGATTCAAAGACTGAAAATGTCGAGTTAGAGTTGATTTCTACACCAAAAACATTATAGTTCAATCATATTCTGAAAAACTATTTTGAAGATTGTATCATGAACTACAGCAAACTACAAAAATGTGTAACAGACCTGAAGTAAAATCTAATGTTGCATATCTCAAATGTTTTCTTTTCATAAAAGTGTTTTTAGCTGAGGTGGACTAATATCTGTTTAAAAACCTATACTGTTACCTTTTTTTATTTGGTTTAAATGTCGATTAAGGATTGCTTGCAATTTAATTTTCTCATTAAGACTGCGTTAGTCAGGTAGTTTAGATAGATTAGTTTAATAAATGGGGAATTTAAAAAATACATTTCCAGCCCAGTATTTTTAAAATAAAGTCTCAGGGTGCATCATTAGAGACAGAAAACATGGACACATGGTTTCCACAAAATATTCAGGTTGGGTGGTGCACAAATGTCTAATGGTGACACTGCACCTGCTGGACACAAACATCAATTTCCTTGTGGAAAAGTCAGTCTTGACTGTTCTCCTCATTAAAAGCAAAGGAGTTCTGACGTGGAGGTTTTTAACTAAAGGAGAGGAGCAGGTTTGATTCGGCACGATCAATGCACCCGTTAACTGTGTATTCACCGTAATCTCACCCATCTTTCCAAATTTGCAACAGCAGGAACAAAATACCAAACATGGTCACAATGCACTTTGTGTCATATGTCATTAACTCCCAGAAATAGACGCTGCTGATTTTTAACACTGTGTCACAAGCTATCACCTCTTTTTCTATGATGTGTTGGCTTTGGTGCCTGTGTAATTGTAAATGAGGAAATCCCTGGGGGACAAGCAGCGGGTTATATCACCATAGTTGCTTCCTGTGCTTAGTGTAGTGTATGTGCATCGAAACTGCAAAGAGTTGCCTGCTCAGAATATGTTACTTTATACTGATGTTGAGGGCAAGAAAAGGCAAGTTAAAAAAAACTACAACAAAAAACAAAAATAATGGCAATAATAACAGCAGGCCAGTGTCATTTCCCACTCTAAAGAAGCTGCAATTTTCTTTTCACAGGATCGCAGCAGAGCAGAAAGGAACAGAACTCAAAGATATGCTAACGACGTAGAGGAACCAGAGTACGACGTGGTGGATAACCAGGAAGAAGTGCTTAGTGTACGCATTCTTCCTGCGAGGCCCATAAATGATGACCAAGAGTATGCAGGTAGAAAGAAAGTCTTTCATTTCTATTTTAATGTTAGTTTTGTTCAACATCTAGTACTGCTACTACCTCAGCTATAGCTTGATTTTAATTTCATGAGTTGAAAATGTATTTAAAGCGTCTTTAATGAGACCACTGAGAAAAGTTGTTTATTTGGTCCTAATAAAGCACATTAAAACATGAAAGTAAGAGGAGCTTAGTGATTATTATTATTATTATTATTATTATGATTATTATTATTATTATTATTATTATGTTTAATAGTGTTTTATTATTTCCTTTTTTCATTATTTCTTAAATGTATACATATACAGTGGATTAAGGACATACGTCCACAAGTAATTATTAAATGAATTGTTAAGCAGTTATCTTAATCTAAAACCACTAAAATGATTTTAATAATTCCCAAACTTCTTCAAACTTGACTTAAAGTACTATTTGTACTTGACACAGGGACACTGAGTCTATTTTACCTTCCTACACAGAGATGCTCTCATGAATGTAATTAGAATGAAGCTGAATGAGGTGCAGGGGAAAAAACAGATCTACCACAAACTGTGGTGAGAATGAAAGCAGCCTGGATCTGAGAAAGAGCTCATGCTGAGTGAGCATGATCTGCCAGTGGGTCTCCAGGGCCATCTGTTGGCTGAGTCAGACTGCGGGAGATTACAATTATCCAGCAGCTGAGGGGGAAGAGAGGGAAATGTGCAGTGCGAACAAGCTCGCTTTACTCTCCTGCTTGGATGTGGCCCGCAGCCAGGGGCCTCACAGCTGCATGTCTACAACTTTATAGTGAATGTGGCTTTTAAATTTGTTCACACTTGGAGCATTCTCCCTCTGTAATCAATACAGTCTGCTGCTGCAGTGCACTACTGGGACCGACATCGACCGACTTACAGGAATGATACAAACTCACAGGGTGTTTAAACTGTCAGCTTACACTGGAACTTCTTAAAGTACTATCATCACAGTCATTGATGAGAGTGTTTCTTTGGCTCTTAAGACAGGGATCTCCCAAGGTCATCATCAGCTCACAACCTTTCATCACTCTCCCCTGTAAGGTTTCTTTTTTGGTCTTCATTAATGAATATACAATTTGAATGGAACTACCTTACTGACCGTACTCCACATTTCGTTGTGCTCTTCAATCAATCAGGGAAACTCAAACATCCTCCCAAGATGTCCACCCAGAGAAACGCCATTTTCAACAGGTAAACCTACAACGCATTTAAAATTGAGTGATTACTGTGGTAAAGACACTGAGCAGTAGCAGTGGAATTCAAATCAGAGACATCTTTAATTAACAATTAGTTAATCAGTTAATTAACAATTAAAATAACTTAATTACATAATCGCGCACATCCATACTTTGCCTGGTAACAGCAGCTTGTGCTGGCAAATATGATCAATGAAAATGAGAAAACATTGGATAAATATTGAAGGTAACTTAGTCTTTGCAATGGCTTAATAATTTCTCTCTTCTTGGTTGCTGCTCATCAAAGCATAGAGTCACTTAGACGGCATTACTCATGCTGAAAACCCATATGATGCAACTAACTTCATTAATTAGTTGCTGTCTGCCCTTGCACCTTTGCACTGCCAGAGTGGGCAGCGACTAGCTAATGAACATAGTGAAGCAAATACTAGCTCTAATTGTCGCTTAAAATCAAAGAAGAATGAAAAGAAAGTACTTCAAAAGAAATCTGAAGTTGTGTTTTACACTTGACTGACAAAGTAGGAAAGTCAACTCCACCTAAACAACTTGGGGATTTAGTGGTAGCTGTCGATATTCAGCTAGTTTTTAACTCAACCAGATAACATGAAGTTATGTAGTTCATTTCATCAGTCTGTGTGTCTTTTTGTTGTATTGTTTGTGGTAATGCTCAGAAACGAATGGATAGGTTGACATGAAAAGTTTACCAGAGATGGCACAGAGGGCGACATAGAGGTGACTGCACCACTGGGAAGGGCAAACATTTAAAATTAATAAACATTTCAAAAATGGGAGACATTGTCTTGAAATTCTTAAGAATATTTTTTAACTAAGCAGGATCTAGATATACCTCTCATCCATGCATGGTGTGGTGAGAAATATTCAGCCTCTAGTGATGTGCAGTCTTTGGCGACTCTTTTTTTCTGTTTAATTTAATGCAGCTTGACATAAAATACTTTTCTCTCATAGATTTACAGCTTCTGATCTCAGTAGATTTGGTATCCTGTAATACTAAAGCTGATTATTACAGATTAATTGAAGGATGCTGGTTGTCTTTAGTTAAATGTACTGTAATGTTTTCCGTAAACTGAGTAAAAGCTGATTCTGTCCCAGAAGAAGAACCTTTTCACCTTTGTCTTCTGTGTTTGAAACACAGCACCTGTGATAAATAGAGATCTGAAGCCTGGCCGACAAAAGATGAAAACAGGTAACATCTCAGCTGACTGACATTGTTTTGCCTTTCTGGGTCACAGTTTAAATCTCATATTGTATATTCACGTGGTGTAGTTACAGATAGGAGGATCCCACCTGTGCCAAAAGGAGACCAGGTAACTTCACCTGCCAAACAATACAGTTTACTCTACTACTGTTTGTTTGTTTTTTTATCTTTCAATAAATTGTAATGCTGACAAACTATTAAAAAGGTGACCAACTTTTTCTCTTTCTAACATTACAGCACTCACAAAGGTAATTTGCTAAATTATTGTTTAAGTTACTCATTGTTGTATTTATCTGCCTTATGGACGCACTTACTGTTTGATTCTTTGTTCCTGCAGGAGTTTGCAATCACCGTCACCTTTTACCCTGGAGTTGGTCAATGTCTTGTCTGGAAAGGCTCCACAGCAAGGTTGCAGGAGAGAGTGAGTACTGTTTTATTTTACATGTAGAACCTGACACTTGTCCCAGTTCCCTGTGGTTTTAATTTGCTGGAGTTGACGATAACCCAGTGTGACGTTTCCCCTGCAATAATGGTGTAAAGCAAAAACAACCCCACAGTTTGTACAGTGTAGCGATGACACCATCTGCTGGTTGGAAAGATTATCACAGAAAATGCTGGAGGCTCTTCTGACATGTTATTTAATGTCATTTGATTTCAGCAGAGAGCACGGGACCACTAGAAATGTAAGTAGCTGAAAATGCTGAACCTATTAGAAGGTGTTGTTTGCATTTTATTCACCATCTCTTAACAAACTAAGTCCTGTGAGAAATACTGTAAAATAAACATGCTTTCCTTATTCATATATACATTTGATTTTATTCCACAAATTTCACCAAGCATTGTCGTTTAACTCTCTTTTTATACTTTTAACAGGCAGAGTTTAGTTCACATATGAAAGGTAAGATAAACATCACAGCCTCTTGTGATAAAGTGTTACCAATAATTGTTTACAACTGTATTAACACATAAAGGGTTTTTATTTTTAGGTCCACTCAGTTCTGAAAGTCTTACACACGGCAGTTACAGGCATTCACTGGATTTGGAGTCTCACTTAGAAAGAAGGTCTGACTTTATATTTTCAGGCTTCTCAAGATGCTTTTTTAAATGTCTTATTTACATGCATCTTTTCTGTCTTTTATTTAGGACCCATCAAAGTCTAGGTAAGTATCTTTGGACTCGTCATCATCAGTCATTATACAGTTACTGACTTAATAAGTCCCCCCTGACATCTACTTAAAGAAAGGGTCCCATCAAAACGCCATCACCATGAATGGCCTCAGACGAAAGAAGACTTTGACCAGCACGACTTTGTCCCAATGGAAAAGCCTCAACAGGTACATGTGCTGCTACAGTCATGTGAAAAAGAAAGTTTTTGTTGAAGTATGTCTGTAAAGGTTCTCAGTCATCCAGGTCATCGTACTCTAAGGAGCTTGGAAGGAAGCATCTGGACTTCTTTAAGAGACTTTTCCCCTCTCATCCAAGAAGCTTCTTCAGTTCTAAGAGCAGTTGGTGGATAGTCCCAGATTCCCAGCCCTATGGGAGTGTCCCCAAGAGGGTCATGGACCCCGTAAGGATCCTCTACCTAATCACATGAGCCAAGGTGTGAAAGTGGGTGTGAGTCACAATCAGCGAGGTTTCAGGTGAACCCACTGTGAAAACTAGCCCAATGGGTTCACAACATGGAAGAGCCACCTCCACGGGACACAACTCGCATGCATCTAAAGGACAAAGGTCATTGTTTCAAGGACGCCAATGTTCACATGTTGGACAGAGAGGACAGACGGTTTGAAAGAGGAGTGAAAGAAGCATCTATGTCCACTGTGAGCGACCATCTTTGAACAGAGAAGGTGGCTTACGACACCAACTGACATCTACAATCCAGTTTTGAGTTCCCTCCCCAGACACCTTAACACCCACTCACATCCTGGGCCATTTAACCTCAGTAAATCACATGACAGTGTGGGGATAGGTTTCACAGTGGGTTCACCTGAAACCTTGGCTGATTGTGACCCACACCCACTTTCACACCGTGGCTCGTGTGATTCGGTAGAGGATCAAGAGGGGGTCCATGACCCTCTTGGGGACACCCCCATAGGGCTTAAAATCTGGGACTCTCCACCAACTGCTATTAGAACTGAAGAAGCTTCTTTGAAGAGAGGGGAAACATCTTCAAGGAAACTTAAAGAAGTCCAGACGCTTTTCTTTCCAAACTTAAAATTTTCATAGAACTCTAAAAAAGACATTTGAAACTTTACCAGTCCCTTGTGTCATTGTGGAGAGATTTTGGCCCACTCTTCTTTACAACATTGCTTCAGTTCATTGAGGTTTGCAGGCATTTGTTCATGTGCAGCTTTCTTAGGGTCCCACCGTCTATTTTAATCAGGTTGAGGTCTGGACTTTGACTGGGTCATTCGTTGTAGATTTGCTGCTGTACTTGGGATGATTTTCCCGGTTGCATGATC